CATTTTTTTTAATAGTTAGTTGTCTCAATATTAAGTATACATTGTATTAGTAGAATACAATATTTAATCTATTCTTTTATGCTTGAAATATAAAATAAAATATTTAAAAGAGCTTTGTTATAAAAAAAGTATTTGAATGTATTAGTTTTAACTAAATATTATTCCAAACACGAATTTAAAAATAAACAAACAAAATAAGTCAAGTAATAAACATAATCTTGTTTGAAATATTAATAAGGTTCCATATTTTGATATATATATCCATATAATAACAAATATCATATCTTTCTGTTTTTTATATATTTACACACACACACACACACACACACACACACACACATACACGCACACAAACACACATACACATATTGATTCTTGCATACGAAATAATTACATTTTACATCTACATTTATTTAATTTTAAAAATAATTTACTTCAGCTGAACTAATCAGTTTATTTTGTTTTCGATTCAATGAGTGTTAACAATTCAATCGGTGAAAAAACCACATTTTTTTGCACCTGTATATTTATTATTTTTCATTCCTGTAGATATCCTCGAGCCATTATTTTTGATTTTTGGAATTTAAACACATATCTATTTTAGAACCATTTGTACAATCAATTTTCAACTCAAGTTCACATTAAAACCATCTAGAAATATTCTGTATATAGCTGTGATTCATCGCCATCCATTGTCCAAATGGAGTGAGTAGTACTTCCGATTAAGTGTCTCGTTATATTATGAAGAAAAACGGTGCTCGAAAGTGTATTGCCGCCAAACAACGTAAAATGGCATCACACTCTACAGTTACAATTCTCGGGGCACATGCATCAGACAATTCGTCGTCGCATCGTTGACTCCTATTGTTCAATCACTAAACTCTAGCTTTTATTTTGGACAAATAACGGATATCACAATTGGAAGTTTTCTATGATATATAATATCGTTCAAACTATATCAATTGGCTCACTCAGTATATTATAGTAAGACCAGTATATTTTAACGAGTCAGCGTTGAAAAAAAAAAAAACAGTTGGATAAAGTTTTCGATGAAGTTCTATGCACACAAATGGCTTTATGGTGAGCAAGTTTAAAGTCGAATAGTTTTTCCAAACGTATTATCACGAGTTGTTAGGTTTTCATTGTATAAACATGGCATGCCCATCGCCCATATTATATTTCTTAGCTATAAATATGAACATAAAAAATATGTATAATGGAGAAAACTCAATTGATGAATCCATTAAATTTTTGTTTGTGTTAATGTGAATACTGCATTCAGCTATATCGTGTTTTTTGCTCAGCAATTTTTATTACACGTACAGCCTGCTATTTGTATTTGTGTATATTTATTTACATTTATCATTATTATTATTATTTTATCTGATGAAATAATATTACTGTCCATAAGAAATTTTACTTTTCAGTTATAATTATTAAGGTATAAAAAATAGATTTAAAAAAATAAGATTAGTGATTGTCAAATATATTAGAAAAAATTTTTATCGACAATTTGAAAAAACTATTAATTATTGTATAATTCTTTGTTATTGCAACTTACATTTTAAAAGAACTAATAGATAAACACATCTGTATATCTGGTGATCTGGTGATACGCTTTAACACCTGGATTAAAATTATACTTCGAACAATGTAAATCTCTTTAGAAAACTGTTTGTACTAGAAAAATACACATATAAAAAAAAAAAAAATGATAATAATAATATATCTAGGATTGTTTTATAAGTAAACATAGCCAAAATTGATAAACATTTTGTAATGAATAATTAATCTTTATTTTAATAATTGAGTATTACTTTGTGTTGTGTGCAAATGAGATGTGTTAGTAACAGATTTAATAGGTTTGCGACTACTAAGGCATAATTCAACTCTAAGTTATTACAACTAAAACTGATTCACTATTGTATGGTGACAGTGCGTTTAATCTCACTATTATTATGGTCTGCCAGATAAATCCATAAAATATGACGTTAAATAATATATCATATTTTCATAATTAAATTTTATTTATTTAAGTTATGACTAATTATTGACCACTAAAGAATTTATAAATGCACGAGCACATGTGATTTTTTAATTTCTAAGATGGATATCCATGATGGGCAAAACACAAACAATATAATATCTTGTGTGGTTAATTCATCGTCTACAATTAAAATACAGTATATTTTTTTATTGAACTGAGTAAGAAGTTTAAAAAAAAAATTAATTATGTGAAATTATTCGAAGATTTTCATTCATAAATGTGTTAGTTTGTTTAACGAGTTAAATAACTGGCCAGAAGAGTTTTGTTTTGTTTTTTTGTCCTCAAGTTATTTTATATTTTTTTTATGTATATATTGCTGTATGATAATTTCTCATACAATTGTAAATATTTTTTTAACTCTAATCTTATTATTTCTAAATATCTATAACTATTTCCATTTTTATCTTTATAATTGCAATTGACTCAAATTTTTCTTATCTTTGTTATATCAAGTTTTTGTAAATGTACTACTAACTCTTGAAGCCTATGGTTAAATATTCTTAGTTATAAAAATCTAACTAATGTTGAAAGGTATACATGTGGATTTTGTATTTCATATTGACAACATTCTAAAAAGAGTATTCGTTTACATACATTGTTGAAATCACTCGACAAAGGTTTCGTTTATATAAGCACATTTATATTCAAATCTATAGAGTATAAAACTAAAATTGAGCAGTAAAACTAAAAAATGAATTCACGTTAAAAATAGTTAGTAATGAAATCTTTACTTCATATTCCATACACAATTTGGGGTTTTAAAATAAAATAAAAAATGTATTTCACGATTATTTTTTTTATTATTATCATTTGCTATATAAAATACTTAATTATAATAATAAAAAAAATATTTAATAATTTCAAACGTAAAGTTTAGTATTACTTTATTTTAAATTGCTGAATGAACACACACATTTGTTTAAGTTTATACTATAATTTTATTTTATATTTCAAGCTATAATGGTAAATTCTATTAAAGAGCTCAAAAATAATCAAATTTAGGTAGATGGATTGAAAATGATTTATGTCAACTACTTAATCATACTTTGCTAAATCTTTATATTCGTACGTCAACAGTTAACTCTAATCAAATAATAAAAAAATATAACATAAACTTGCAAAAAAACAAATATACATAACAATGTATTATTTTTATCAATATTAAAATAATATAATTATCTTATTATTAATTATCATTATAAATGAGATTTTAAGAATAATTTAAAAGTAACACATAATATTTGGCGAGTGAGACCCATAAATGATTATTTTAAACTTTAAAAGTTTTATTAGGACATATTATATTTTTTAAACTAATTAATTTTTTTAATAAATAGTTGAATAAAATAACAATTATTGTATATGTTTTATAAAAACTCATTACGATTATTTTTTGTTTTGGTAACTTTCATCATTACGGATAGATAAAAATATAAAAGAAAGGTACGTAACTATCAAAAAAATATGGGAGGGGAGAGGTTCTCAAGTACGTGGCCCTTTTAATAGCATTTGTGGTAGAGGTGGCACTACCTGGCTTATTCTGTTTAAACTTTACGATGGATGAACATAAAGATAAGGTAATAAAGATGAATTGTGCGTTACAAAACGATGCATGATGGTAGCAGAGAAAGTGGACAATGATAGAAAGAGACTCATTGGTATACCACACGCGGTAACGTGTCCCTGGCGTACCGTTGTATCCGTACATGACTGCCAAGAATGTTAAATACCCCTCCTATCACACCAAATCCTTCTACTAAAATGGGCTGTCAAGGGAATACAAAATTTAAAACAATTCCCATTATATGACAATTGAAATAAAATTAATTGTCCACATTACTATAATTAAGAAATTAAAATATTGAATACGATGAACAAATAATATTAATCAATGCAATAATCTTAGTTAATAATTCCATACTACTTAATTCCCAAATCGTTTGTATTTTAAAATTATGAATAACGTATTTACACAACAATTATATATTATATGTATTGGATGTTTAAAAATAAATGTAATATGTTTTATTATAATATAATATTTATCATTGTTAAAAAAAAAAAAAAATACATATATATTTATTTAATTGCTTTACAGTGACTTGGTACACATATTTTCTTTGGCATAAATCAAAAAACTATGTAATAAAAAATAATAGTTAATAATTATAATAATTTATACAAAAATAGAATGATTTGATCAAACACACATTCAAATTATAATGAATTAAGAAATCAAATTCCATATTCATCGTTAATCTTAATTATTTGTTTTTTTTTTTTTTTTTTTAACTTTAAAATTATCGAACTATAACTTTATACGATTTAAAATGTATAAAGTATTGATTTTTCAAATGAGCATATCTATCTTATTTGTTTATATAATATACACTATACCCAATATTTTTATTATTAAACTCCAAATTGGTAAAACATTTTGTTATGAATATATAATGTATGTGTTTTAATTAAAGTAGTTACAGTTATATAATCTGGAACAAATTAAGAAAATTACTGTTCTGCAAAAACTTATGAGAAATAATAATATACTTAACTACCTACATAATTATGTTCATAATAACCAAGAAAAATGTATTATCTTTTCGTTTTAAGTATAGCAGTTCTTAAAGAAATGTTATACCTTTGTAAGCGCACCTTAGAATGTTTCTATAATATAGAAGATTGAGAATTACATATTTGATGAAATCCTGTACAAAGGAAATGTGCTAAATTTATTCGTTAATTATATTAAATATTTATAGTTATAATGTAAGCTATTATTTTATCAATTATACATTGATTTATAACCAACAAATTATTATCAACCCTAACTTTTAATTTGCCTTCACAATTTTTGTCAATTGTTTTGATTTCTACACAAACTTATAACTTTATAGATACTTAGTTACTATTCAATATCCAATAAAACATGCATAATATAAAAAAATATTACCTGTATTTCTTAATCGACTGAGTATCTGAAATATAAATTATAAAAATTATAACATATATTTATACATATTATATAATTAATAATGATTTAAAACATGAATAAATTATATATAAATATTATAACATTTTTGAAAACTACAGATCTTTGTAACTCAATTCAATAATATATCACTAGATTTAATACTTTTTTTTTTTTACTTCTAATGTAATAATATTCAAGTAAGAATTTTCAAAACACTGTAAATAACAAAATTTATGTATAATATATATAGTAACAAATGACCATAATTTCTGGGTAAAATAAGATCAATAAAAAAAAAATATATATATAAATTAATTAAATCACATTATTTGTATTGATCATGATTTAATAAAATTATATAACAGATATATTAGGAGTATCTACCCATTTTATTTTGAAATTTACACATTCTATTTAATTTACATAAATATATAATTATATATATACTTCTGCATAATGTAATAATGGTAAACTTTTCTATAACTACTTGCCATATAAATTATTTTTATTTTTTTTTTAATTCCATGGTACTTAATTATTTAAACGATCCAAATATCTTTGTAAGTATGTTTAACAATTATAATATAATATACATATTATATACTAGGTATAAATTATTTATACTTTACACGTTGATGACGTAATATCTTATGTTGTGGCTTCTGCATTTATCTAAAATCTTAAACTAAGTCGCAATGATTTCAGATACTTAAAAGTATAATATCATTGAGGTTATCTAATAATCGGATGATAAATGATTATGACGTGGTGATATAGCAATTTCTCATACGAGCAAACCTTTGAATTTTGTATGCCATTGTAAGAGCTACACATTATGGTGAATTGCGTTGTTTCTTTTGAACCGGTGGCTGCAGTGATAGGTGTATTACATTATGTTAGGCTTACTGATACAACCCCACAGCTAAATTCTGTGAATCCAGATTGGTTTTATAATATCTACACACATCAGATGTTTGTTTTTAAATAGTTAACTCAAAACGATGTCCGACAAATCAATACAATTTTCGTATTTTTTCTTTATTTTTTTTTTTTTTTTTTTGACAAGCGTGATGGTTTGTTTATACGAGAGTTTAAGTGCATTCTCATATATTTAGCTGAATCTTTTAGTGTGATTTAGTACTATTTTGATGTTTTTGGTTTTACGAAATATAAATTTAACGTGTATCGATTTATCGCCTTTGATATTAATTTTCTAACGTCTCGTGTAGTCAATTGACTTATGTAGTTATCAGTTACAGTAATTTAGCTTTTACGTGTCAAAACTAATTGCTATATGGTCGGAAAATATAGCTAACGTTGTATTGTCATAGTTTTGTATATAAGCCGTATAAAGTAGGAAAGGTCCTAAAACACTACTTTATGGTACTCCAACTGATATGTCATTTTTATTTACAGCTTCTTTGTATATAACTCAAATTTGACGGTAAATAAAGTATTATTCAACAATTACATACCAGGTATGAGTCAATTGATCACACAGTTTGAAAAGGAATCATTTAAGTCAGATGTTATCAAAAATCTGTATTATACATCAAGAAATATTTCACATCATCACTTTTTTTATTTAAGAGCTTTATTAATCACATTAGTGAATCAGTGTATTTAATTAATTGTTGAATGTCTCTTGCGAAATCTAAACTCATATTCTGGTATAAGATTTTTTTCACTATAATCGGTTTTAAGCGTTTAAGCAGAAGTTTCTCTAAAGTTAAAACAAACTTGGAAAGAGTGATATCGGTCGGTATTATGTGACATATTCATGTGGTTTTCCTGGTTTAAGCAACACTTTTGTTTGCTTCCATTATTCTGTTACGTATCCCGTCTGCAAAATAGCGTTGTATATGTGTATAAGATAAATGATAGCCTTTGGAAGCTATTTCAGTACTTTTGGATTAATTTCATCATAGCCTGGTGATTTTTCTGGATTAAGGTTGTTATTTATTTCTTAAGCAATTTTTAACAGCAGTAAATGTTTAATTTTTTACATGTTGCATCAAGCGTTTGACATTGAAAAATGTCGAGCTCAAATTCGTTAGTAATTTGTATAAACACATGTTCATGATGTCGAACGTATATTTTGGTTTTTTCTCGTTCACTACGTGCCTAGGTGCTATTTTCCTTAGAGATAGGTGATATTTGAACACGAGGTTTTTTCGTGTGTCTTGTTGATACCCATGATGAATAATCGGTATTATCTGTCGCAATGAGACCACTTAAGTATAATTGAACAAATAAAACAAAATTGGTTAAATTTTATTTTTTTACTTGTCAACTAATTGTATGACTTTTTTTCTTATTTTTGAATCTAAAAAAATATTTATGAATAATCTTTTTTTGAATAGCTGCAGTAATACTGAAATAACTTGCACATATCGTTTTACGACTCGTTTGTCATAGGTTAACCATCTCATAAAAAGTGAATACAAAGCTGATAATTTACCATAAATAAAATAAAAAATCGTAAAATGTTGAGTTACCTATTATAAATTGGTTTCATTACTAAAATTATAATGTGAATAAATTTTAGACATATTGATTAACTTTAACTTAAGTAAAAAAAACTCATAGTTTTAATAATAGAAAGATACTCGTAGTCGTTGCTTTTTTTTAAATAATCAAACATATTTATAGAAAAAAGTCTTAAAAAAAAAAAAAATAAAAATAAAAATACGATGACTATAACAATTTGTTACTTAGGTACGTATTTGATTTCAAATATTAAACTTTTTAAAATATGTTAAAAGTAATTAAGTTATAACAATTTATTCTAACTGCTACGAATACAATATATGTACTACATTGTATAATGTAATTTCAACAAATGTAAAATGTTGTATTATACGATATAATGTATAGTATAGTGTAGAATACAAGAAACTTTAATAGAATCTATGTATAACAGTAATTATAAAAATACCTACTACGTTTATTTGTCTTTGTACAATATTGTAAATTAAACTTTAGGCTCATTACAATTATCATCAAATTTAACAATTGGTCAATTCAGATAGTTATTGGTCATCAACTTTCAGTTGACATACAACAACTACCATATGTAAGTATATTCTTTGTAATTAGTTTAATTTTTAATATTTTATACTTACATACGTTTTATTATAACGAATTTAAAATAGCTACTAAAACTAGTTTTTATGAATCAAAATATATATTTTTTTTAATTGAAAACATACAAATAAAACAATTAACAACGAATAACCATCAATTTTTTTGGTATTATTTTTGGCATTTATGCAATATGTCAAAAGTTAGCTAAATGTGCATCATAGTGCTACTTAAATGATTTAAAAAACGATTTTTTTCAAAAAACCACACATACTCGCGATAACTAAACGAAAATGTTCAAAAATGTTGGGGAATCCATACTAGGAATGAAGAAATTTGCTGAAGTTAGAATAAAGGAAAAATTTAATGAAAATGAATAAAAATGCACAGTTTATTAATTATTTTAAAGCAAAACGATTTATTTGATATTATCCACAAAGATGGAAAGGGTAAATTGGATCATTACTTTGAACTGATAAAAATGATTTTATAATAATAAAAGTACAAAAGAATTGATACAAGTGAAAAATAAAATAAAGATCAAACTTATTAAGAAATAGAAAACTCGTGTAAGTCTTAAGTCTATTAATGACATAATTATAAGTAATTTTTATTTTTGTTATATAATTATTATAGGAACTTAATTTCAGATAAAACTATAAGACTGTAGTTATCCAGTAGCACTGACGAATGTGATGATTCTGTTAATAAAATATTATATTTGAAACTGTTTCCAACAAATCAAGCATACAAAATTACACAATAATTTCATATTAAGTTACATGCATAAAATTGAAGTAAGATAAACGAATAAATAAAGGTGAAAACATTTTTCATTTTATTAAATTTAAATAAGAACCTAACCTAATCTATGAATCGTTTTATAAAATCATAAAATTCTTATATTGAAATATTGTTTATATAATATTTAGGTTAGGTCAATCTCATTAAACAAATATATTTGAAATGTCTCCCGTAAGTATTGAAGTAAACATAACCATTGATAATCTAACTAAAAATTTTATATTTGTCAGAATTATAATTTTTAATAAAGTTATTAATAAATAATACAATTTTTAACATCTGTATTTGTATCACATTGCGACAAATATAAATAAAAACTTTAAATTATTATAAATAGTAACTATAATAATAATATTATATTATAATTATATAATTACGACAATTAAATCATATCGAAAATTTAATTTACCTAAAATAATAAAGAACCTAGTTAAAACTATTTATAGCAGTTTTTGTTGTCAGATGAAGAACTTTAAACTTTTGTTGCTTCGATTATATTGCATTGTACATTTATTTATTCAGGAGAAAAAATAATATTTTAATTAAATAGTTTTACAATCGGAATGTAAAAAAATTAAATTATTCAAATATTAATTTTTATTAACTTTTTAGATTGATATTGAATATAAATTGTATCGATTATATTTGATCTAAAAACTCAACTACTGCAATGTTATGTTTAATGAATAGCGGATAGTATAAAAAAGTACGTGAATATTCCTATAGTATGTTTTATTATTAAACTTGAAAACAATAATAAATCATCGCGTTTTAAAAACCTCTCACTGGAGATCGGTTAAGCCCACGACGCTGACATTTTTTTTTTAAATAATTCCGTTATTACCTATTCATATTTTTTTTATATTGAAAGACTACACATTGATAAAATACAAAACGACCTTTCTCATAAATAAGACTCTTTGATAATGTTTAGTTGTATGTTGCATTTTTGAGTAATTAGCCAATTCTCAAAATTGTTTATAATAAAAAATAAGAATCATTGTAATAAAAAAGCATATTATACGTATGTGATACTTCAATAAATTTTCAAATAATGTTAAAAACATTATTAACAAAAGAATTACACTTATATAAGCAATAATATATTCACTAAAT